CCCAGGGGAAAAAAAAAAAACTCAGCAAGGCATCCATGCAAACCATGATTCCACTGTCCTCTGTTACTAGTAATATGATTGCATCAGACAAAGTGGGAGGAGCTGTGGTAAAGAGATGGTGTTACAATATGTTGGCAAATTCATCTACTGGCCAAAAACCTATTGAATCAAAGAGACATTTACTTATAAGTCTAAATAAGTGGGAGTTGCTCTATGGCCAACATGGAAATGTTATCCCAGAAGCATTTCCGTTGGCATATTGCACAATCATTTGTGCTACAGACTCATGATGGATTGCACAATTCGATAGTGTTATTCCTTATTTCTTTATGCTCCTTTATGTTATATTAGCATAAACAGTATAGTAACCAATATAATGTATCAGGTTATAAAGTTTCCAGTTTGACATTTGATCAAAAAGTTATTCATACAAGAAATAGGAAGAATGTTCTGCATTTCGTCTGTGAGCACTCCTGAGATTTTAAATACATTTCTGAAGGAGGAATCTGGAGATATATATATATATAAGAAGCAGGTAACAGCAAAAAGAGCAGTAACAGCATTGGGGTTAATGTTAATTATCAGATGATACAGGTTTCACATACTGTTTATTTTCCTTCTTTTTCCTTTGAGAAAAGACCTCTGTTATCAGCTTTGCCTAAATAGAGCACTCCTGAGATTTTAAATACATTTCTGAAGGAGGAATCTGGAGATATATATATATATAAGAAGCAGGTAACAGCAAAAAGAGCAGTAACAGCATTGGGGTTAATGTTAATTATCAGATGATACAGGTTTCACATACTGTTTATTTTCCTTCTTTTTCCTTTGAGAAAAGACCTCTGTTATCAGCTTTGCCTAAATATATGCACGTAAAAGGAGGAATCTGGATATATATATATAATAAACAGTATGTGAAACCTGTATCATCTGATAATTAGACCTCTGTTATCAGCTTTGCCTAAATATATGCACGTAATCATAAAATTAAAGCAAAGTTATTAATTGGATGTAATGTTCTTTACCAGTCATAAATGTGCTCAATTATTGACCTTAGGAACTCTTTTCATTTTTTCTACTTGATTGCTTCCCCATCATACAACAAGGAAGAAGCAAACAGATTATCAGTGCTTTAGGCACTGTTCAAAATGGTAGCAATGTATTAATAATACATGAACATAAAAAGCCGCATAGCTCTACAAGTGAATGCAGAGGGTTGATTGTACAATCTAGACAATATAATGTAGTGTTGGGGAACAGCAAGCATAGGATCTGTCACTGTGTGTGTTCCATCAGTGGTACTCCATCCCTGCCGCCACACTTTGGAAACAGCTTGCCCAGCTTTTTCTAAATGTTCAAAGTTGTTTAGAGTCTGGTCCAAGAGCCGAAATTTTTCCTTTAGATGTGCATGCTGTTATGCATCATTTTTTCTCTCTGTACTTTGGTGAAGATGCACTTCAAGGGAATTTGGACTGATAATTCAAACAGGTGTTTCTAGATCAAGGATCTTTATCTTGACAGTTTTGATTTTTATCTCCACCATAATTTATATATTTTTCCACTGTAAGTTTTTTCACCTAACAGAAATATATGTATAAAAAATTCTGACTGGTTTATTTCCAGTCAGTATATAATAAAACCCAGCTTATTCAGAGTAAGCCCATTGAAATCAACTGGAATTAAGTTAATCATAACTAAGTTTGGATCCAGCCCAATGGCTCTTTTTCTTTTCAGTGTAGCCATGTTAAGGTCTGAAACAGTAGAGAGCTAAATACGTTGTGGGGACTTCAGGATGCATTTAAACCCTACCAGCTGTATCCTACCAAATATAGGAGTTAGTAGAATGCATGCTTGTTTAATCTAAAACTCTGCATAGCAAAGGATCCTGTGAATGTGTTCAGCTGAATAGACTTGAGGTTAGTATATACACCCCATTCCACTATTTCATATCTCATCCTATTATCTCTTTACCACTCCATGTATTCAGCATAACACCTGGAAATGGCTTGCATTGACTATATTCTCTTCTCTACTGTTGTTCTTGGAACATAGTCTTTGCCCTGAACTCATATTGGTATTATGAAGTCTCATTTGCCTGATGGTGGTGCAGATTATTGTGCTAATAAAACAAAGAAAAAATAAACATAAGGATAACTAGTAGCTTGATTTGTGAAATAGCTGCCACAGCTCAATACTTATAGACTGTGGTTATTTGAAAGCAATATCCATTTAAAAAGAGAGAAGACTCTGTTTTCATTTAGTAATTCCTGTAGCAATTGCCATTCCTTCCATCTGTGTATTCCTGTCTCTTGGCAGAAAACACTAGTAGTAATATTTTTTGAGAGACCACCGTGTTTTTACACTGAAGTAGAATGGTGCGAGATTTGGAACAGTTTCCCTACAAAATCGATAGTTAAACTATGGAAGATTTAGTTAACAGCCTTGAACACAAATAATGTTGAAAGGGGAATAGACAGGTTCATGGACAAGCCGTCTATCAGTGGCTGCTGATCACTATAGCAGTGTATTACCTCCAGTATCAGAGGCAATGCATGTCTCAATACCAGTAGCTGCAAAAACATAAGTATAAGGTTGCTATTGCACTCATGTCCTGCTGGTAGATGTCCTCTGGCCATCTGGTGTGTTCACTATGGGGACAGAAAGGCTTTTAGTATCACTCAGGATGGCATTTCTTACTGGTTTGTGCTTCAGATTGTTTGTAGAGTCTCAGAAACAAAGTCAGGTCATGTGCTGTCATGTGCTGTATTCTAGTAGTTCAGCCTCAGATATCTGAGAGAATATAATCTCAGAGACTGCTGCTATAAAATTGTAGTTGTTATTCTCTTTCTCCATCCACAAGGGGCTATCAATCATTGGTCTGTCTTTTAGGATGCTACTGTTGTCCCAACCTCAGCCATGAAAATGAAATGTTACTAGCCCCTGTAGTGATTTGTCCTCAGCAGCAGTTGTAGCTGGAATGAGAAGGAAATCAGCAGACTCCAGAAGCAGTTCTTGGGATTTGTTGCACTTCAATACAACATTAATAAAATGCAAACTCTTTTTGAAATGTGTACAGTTGTGTAATAACAAACAAAAGTGCTTGCACCAGTGTCTACTAAGGGTATGGTGGATATTCTTAATTATAAACTACTGGAGGTTTAATTTGCAAATTATTGTATTAAATAAATCCATGCACTAATCAGTGGAATACAATAAGCTTGACAGGTCTAAAACTTTTGGTAATTGAAAGCATAGTATGAATATTTTATGCAGGATCTATTCTTGTATTGTGGTGATGTATAAGGTTAATCATTTGGTTCACAGACTCATCTGCTGTTTTCTGTTTTTAAAAAAATCGATCTGAAAGAGCACTTAGAAGCCAGTTAAATAAATAAATGTGCAAAAAAATTGTATGGCTTCCACATTTTGGATGAGAATTGAATTAAAGTTTTACATGTAATTATATTAAATGCTGTTTACTTTCATGCACGTAGTCAGTTAACACTGTGCTACAATCAATGCAAAAGCACTTATGCTGAGATGTTTATAAAGGCTTTTTGTACTTAGGGAGAAGTATAACTAATACTTTCTCATTGGGATAACAGTATGAGTGCCTTATACGTATGTAAACAACTACTAACAGCCCTACTATGAATTTCAAAATTATTGATACTTTAAATTTTCTGCTAGTTCAAAACCTGTTTTGTTCTGTCAAATGTGTATTCAAAACCAAATGTATGTGTCACAACATAGAAGTGTCCTTTTGGTTAAGGCAAGGCACAAAATTAAAAATATTCCACCATTGTAAGTCTCAGCATTTCATAATGTCTGAAAATGACACCTGTTCAGCTAGGGATGTATAGATTGGTATCCATCATGGTAGTTTGGGAAAGCACAGGGACCTTGAATGAATGAAAGTTACCAGCTAGAGGAGATGTGGAAGAAGATAACTGAAACCACTCTCCTCAGATAGAATCTGTCTGGCAACAATTTTCAGGTCAAATGGTGACCGTTGATTTTAGGTCCCAAGCTGGGTAGCAGTAGAAAAAAACTTTGAGGAGGGAATGACTAATATCTTCTGCTGAATCCCTTCTGAAGTTTTCTAGTGATATTTTGGTGATTACATAACTTAAAAATTATAATGTTATAATAATCTTAGAATTACACACAAATTGACAACTTACAACTAGCAAAAAGACCAGGATCTGACAAGCACTGGATGCACCAAAGTCTTTGAGAAAAAATGATGTGGCTGACATTGTTGGCCACTTTGTGCTGCCACTATGTGAGGGTACACAAAGCCACTGAAGTCTCTGAACATGGCCATTGCAGTGGTGAGCCCTGAATGGAATATTTGCTCCCTGCAGAGTAGAAGGGAAATCTTGCAACCCTGCTTTTTGAGCTGCTTCCCTCAAGCTTCAAAGTATATAAACTGCAAACATGCTTCAGGTAGCTTGCCACCTAATGACTGAAGATAATACTGCAGGTGTCAAACAGGTGCATTTGAATTAATTAAGTTTAATATGTTTTAAAATTTTAAAAATTCCAGCCCCTTAGAATTCATGTCTAAAATTAAGTATCTAAATTACATAATCCATAAATTTTGGCTCCAACAAACACAGATATCACCCTTTATTATTTTAGCTGCTTTAGGTGACATTTTAAAGTAACTCTACGCAAGCCTATAGAAGCCCCAATAAACAAACTAGGACTTATTTCTGTGTAGGTTTGTAAATGTAATTTTATCAGCAATTGTTTGAATTAAAAATTACTAATTTAACTAAGATTCAAAAAAGCTTATTTCTACTAATTGTTAGTCAAATGTGTGAATATAGCTTATTGATGAGGAGGAAATGCATCTGTCATCCAGGACCTGTGCATAAACAAACACATAATGTATATAGATATTGCATGTGTTGATTAGTATGATTGAACACCCCTGTTCTTTCAACCTCCCCAACATCTGTTGTGAAAATAAACTGGAACAAGATGAGAATCAGGTCATCTGCCTTAAGAAGGTTCGTTTAAAAAGTTTGGCATTTTTTAAAAGTATGGATACCTGAATATTAAAGTGTAGATACTTGAATATTTGTGTTTGTCTTTTGCTTGTAGTTACTTGTCTATAATTATTTCAAGTCCAATATGATTAGCAGAGTTCCTCAATGTTCTGACAAGGACCTGATAAAATTGGAGCATATCTAGGTAGCAAAAAATGACAGTGATAAGCTTCTGTTGACATGCAAAGTTTTCAGTTTTGAATTTGTTTAGTTTTTTTAACCTTCTTCCTTGTAAGATCCAAGGTATATGTAGTCTCCTTGAAAAGGAGTTCTACTTTAATTCACATTGGATTTGTCAGATGACTTGCTTTTCTATCATTTTATCCTTTGGAAGTTTCCGTTTTGTTCTAATTGTGTTTCTTTTTACTTGGGTTCAGAAAGGGATCAGATATGTCTTCTTCCACTTCTTTAAAAAATGACAGTACTATATAGGACTGGTGGCCTAGTCCATGGATGCTTGCACCCAGCTGTGTGCAAAGATGTCTGCACACCTACTATAGAATTGGGAATGTAAACCTTACCTAAATGTTGTTGTGTCATTATGTAAATGTTAAAACGAGGGAAATCTACACTTGTGTGACCACAGCAATAGCATAACCATTCGAATATGCTGATCTTTACAAGATCCTGAAATGTTTGCCTTTTTATTGTTCGCTATACTGACATATTGTTCTCTCATCTTTAGTTCCTTTGACAGTAATTACATTTATCGACAAAAGGGGCTTGGACCCATTAAAGAAAGCACAATTCTGGTACTAGATCCTAGTAATTCAGCAGTTCTTCATTCCACAGGAAAAAATCTGTAAGTCTGCTTTACTTCATTAAAAATACTTGTATATTCCTGACTTGAGACAACCTCATTTTGCACTGTACATATCAATCTCCATTCAAGATTTTTTGTTAAGTTTGGTGAAGAAAAACAGTTTGCTTGTTGACTCAAATGAACACAAACTCCGATGGAAAGGAGATATTCCCTCCCTCTCACAAGGCAGAAGGACTCTGAAGAAGTAGGACAGTCAGGATTCAGTATGTTGACATCACTTTCACCCCAAGTAGAAGAAAAAACAGAAAGTGAGGAAGATCAGAGATCTCTTTGTTTACTGTGCATACTGTGCACTAACCAGTTCGGCTATAAAGTATGTATTGGGTATGTGTGTTGATGACTTTGTCACTGAACAGATCATGGAGAATTGTGTTGAAATTTGTCCTTTATCTTGCCTTGCCTTCACACACACTGTTTTCTGGAGATACTTCTTTCTATCTGGCAAGTGTCTAATATTGAGGATGGCTGGGATGGAAATGAAACCAACAGAGTATGGATACATAAAGCAGAGAGAAAGAAAGTAGAGAGGTAAAGCAAAAGAGAGGGTGGATTTACTATAATCCTGCATGCACTCCTCCTAGAGGCGAAAGTGGACTTTGCTTCGACCTGGCTTTATAGTCAGACTGACATTATATATGGGTAAAGAGTAAATGGGACTCTCATAATTCCTCTAGGTGTACACATGGAAACACAGACTGTGTAGCTGCTAAGTATATACTCTCCAAGGACAGTTTTCTGGAAAGCTTTTGCTTCTTTCTAAGAAACTGAAAGAAGAAGTGATTCTTTGGATGGGGAGCATCTGCTGGGATGAGGGCTCTGAGATCTACCACTCGATTCCCTCTTTTCTACAGCCCTGTTTAGTTGTGATGGAAACATGTGTATTCCATATGTGATATGGGGAGAGTGCTAACCCCACTTCTTGGTTATCACATTCCTCATGGGGATGAAGAGAGTGAGAGAGCGAGAGAGAGACTGTTCTGTATAGGTTCAGAATGCACACACATGCCCCTGCTCCTGAGATGGAAGAGGGGAAGAGAGAAAACAGGTCTGGCTTACCTACTGAGGTTATACAGATACAATAAGGGCTGTATCTCTTCATACAGTCACATTTGTATGATGAAGACAATAACAGAGGGGGCAGGTAACACAAATTCCTCATACACAAGTGTGGAGTACACACACATCCATAATGATGGATTAGTGCTTTCATGTAAACAGTATCCTTATTTTTCAAAATACCTATTTCCAGAGCTTCAGACTCGTAAGTCAAATTCGATGCTTAATTTGTTTTACAAGTCTTAAATGAGTATTTTATTATAGGGTATTTATTATATTGTTGTTGTTAAAATAGCTTAGATGAAATGATTTTGTGAATAAAATGAGTAGAGTATAATAGAATAAGGGGGGGGGGGGACACGTCCGCATGGATTCTGAGTTTGATCCTGTAGCAGCCTGCAAGGGTAGGTTCCTTTTCCATGTGCGTTTAGAGAGAGGTAGAAGACCCTCCTGATGGAACGGAGGGAATCACTATGTATTGGGCAGAGTCATTTTTCACAAACATTGCTTGTTCACTGACAGTGTTCTCCATTTTTGCTGGGTCCGGAGGAAAGGCACTAAGAACTGGGTCAGCAGCTGCCCAAGCTGCAATTGGAATTGTACACACATCAAATGGTCTGGCAGTCCACTTGCCATTTACTTCTTTTAAAGCTTAATGTAGTACTGTTCTTGCCCTAAATTTGGGCAATAAACCTATAAATAAGCTATTAGATCTCACCCATGGTGATATCTGAATTCCCTCCCTCTCCCCCCCCCTTTTACTTGGGTGTTGTTTCATCTTCTAAAGGTAGGGGAAAATATCTCAATATTACTGACAGGTTCTGTTTCAGGCCCACACCTTTCCTTGCAGTAAAGCAACATACAAAATGGCAGTTTATCCTTAGAATGGCCAAAACAATGGTATAATATTTATCACAAATTTCATGGCACATTTAATCCAGTAGATGTTCAACACATCCATCAGCAATATTGCACACAGCAATTAGAATGGCCATGAATGAATGTTGGAGATGTTGTATTTTCTTAAGTGTAATACAGACAGATGGGCAGACAAACATATTTTATTGTTGAAAATGTCATATCCAAAGCAATACTGCTATTATTGAATGTGTGCTGGGTGTGCAATTCAAATGAAAACTTGGTCTACAGATATAACACTACAGATATGTTTGATTTTGAATTCTTTGTTGAAACAGGAAGAGGCAATTTTTGCAATAGATGTCTGATTTGGGGGTGGGGGATTTAAGAACAACCTCTCTTTTTCTTTTCTTTTGGCTGTTTCCTCCTTATCCTTCAATAAAAAGAGGAACAGAATTAAGAGTTGAGGTCTGTATGCATATACAAATGTGGCCTGGTAGGAATGCTGCCCCCTGAGCTTCAAGCAGGTATCAGCTTTGAAATGTGGGAGATAGCACCAGATTTTGTGGAATAGCAGGAACAAAAGTAGGGAAAATGAACTCAAGAAGAGTCCAGCAGATTTCCATAAGCAAAGCATTCCTTCTGCAACAATATAAGAACAGCCCAAATGTTAATATGAAAGCTAAAGAGAAACAAATCATTCTGTTTTGGTTTCACGTTTCCCCCTTCTCCATACTGTAGCTTTCATTTATTTTCTTCTCAGGTTTTATTTACCTCATGGCTTGAGTATAGATAATAATGGAAACTACTGGGTGACTGATGTAGCTCTTCATCAGGTATGTGTAATTGACATTCAAAGTGCTGTACTAAATGTACAACTCCGAATTTAGCTAGCTTCTATCTCTTATTAGCAACTTGACAGCATCATTTTTCTCATACTGGGGGAATGTTTCCCAAATGTTCAACTATTCTATTTAGCATAATAATCATAGATTGACTTATTTTATGCATAAACACTATTAATTTAACTCTTATTATTTGCTTGGCAATGGATCTGTTCATTAGGCTTATGAATTTCTGTTAATATGTAGTTTTTCTCTGAAGAAATATGTTTTCTAGTAGGCAGGCACATGATAGGTCCTGCAAACTATAGATTTTTGCCTTAGGTTGTCTGTATAATATGTAATTTAAATAATCTTCTTTTACCTTTTACATTGATAGGTATTCAAACTAGCACCACACGGTGTGGAATCTCCTTTGCTGACTTTAGGGAAGGCATTCCAACCTGGAAGTGATGGAAATCACTTTTGCCAACCTACAGATGTAGTAGTGGATCCAGTTACTGGCAATATTTATGTGTCAGACGGCTACTGTAATAATCGTATTGTTCAGTTTTCTCCAAGTGGAATGTTCATCATGCAGTGGGGAGAAGGTACTGAACAGAAATCTGTTGATTCATTTTGCAAATCCTATGTTTTGCTTTTGTTTTCCTCCTCAGAATGGTTTATTATGTAACCCAGGTAAGAGACAGTCTAGAAGTTGGATGTTCCTGAGGTCCCACTGACTGTGGTTTTAATATCTAGTTCTCACTGAGGCAATAAACATGTGTCTGGGCTTTACTGTTTCAAACTGCAGGTGATAGGTCATATATCTGAATATTTCCCATAAAAAACATTATCCCCATACAGGATCCTCAGATATTGGTTGAAATCCAGCAGTAAGTCACAAGCAGAATGAATTAGTGGAGCTTATGGAGGAGTCACCAATAGGCATGCACCATGCATTTCTTTTGTCTTTTGGTTTGTTTTTATTCCAAATCCTAAAATTCTCCATTCTGGGAGTTCCATCTGCTAGACTAATCCCTAAATTATGCTCATTTGGACACAGGCTGATCTAGAAGGTTTTGTGGCCTAGGATAGGCCAAGTTCAAGTTTATGTGCCTGTTGAGAAAGGAAGTTGCCCCACTGTTTGCTCAACTAATTAAATAAACCTACTCTTAATTGTGAGTTACTACTGGATTTCAGGCATTATGTATAATTTATGTGCATGCATGGCACTATTTTACTGTATAATGGGTTCTGGACTATTGCTCAGAGCTCCTCGTATAAGTATGTCTTCAAATGAGATACTGTTACTGATCCTTGAAAATGTGAATAGGGTATGGAGTGTTGTCAGTATACTGTTTGAAGTCTGCTGTAATTAGGCAAAATACAGTTCCAGTGGGCAGGGTGCATTTTCTCATAAGTTGAAGCTTACAAATCAGTATTTCTGGCCATAAATGATACCCTCAGATTAGGTGGATGTTAATTTATTTTCCCCATCTTTTTCAGAGACTACAGTGGGTCAAGCAAAACCTAACCAATTCAACATCCCTCACAGTTTGACATTTGTGTATGATTTTGGTCAACTGTGTGTAGCTGACAGAGAGAATGGTCGAATTCAGTGTTTTAAGCCAGAAAATGGACAATTTGTGAAAGAAATCAGACACCCAGTGTTTGGAAGAGAAGTATTTGCAGTTTCTTACGCTCCTGGTAATGAATTAAAAGGCATTTTTAATATCTGAGAACTCTGCTTTTTTAAAGTCCTAACAAAAGATGTAGTCTTTAAACTTTTTTAAAGAGGATGTGATTAAGATAATGTGTTTATTTGAAGCAGGGAGAGTGTAAGGCTGATGCCTTTACTTGCAGTAGTGATTTTCATTTAATGAAAGACATTGTTTTCCTGTCCTGCAGCCTCCACTGGTTCCCAACAATGAAAGAGATTATGCAGGAGGTATTCGCGAAGGCTTTCACGGCTGGGATCTAATGGTTGTTGTGGGTTTTTCGGGCTCTTTGGCCATGTTCTGAAGGTTGTTCTTCCTAACGTTTCGCCAGTCTCTGTGGCGGGCATCTTCAGAGGACAGCACTCTGTGCTGTGTGGCCAAAGAGCCCGAAAAACCCACAAATAACCATTATGCAGGACATTTGTGGCCTTGGAAATGGAGGAATAAATGTTTAATTTCCAAAAACCTGTCCTGGCTGACAATGTCATCATCAGCCTTGCATTGTGAAACCTACATGAACAGAATGTCAGCCCCTGGTTTCCTTTCTGGAATCTTAGAACTGGAAGGGACCCTATGGATCATCAAGTCCTACTCCTGTCAAGGAGGCGTAGTGGGAGATCAGGTTCCCAACCAGATGTCTACATCACTGAGCTATCCAGCAACTCTGTTTAGGTTCATAATTCTCAAGGATCTCATTCTTCATCTAATTCTTTAGGGAAAAGATATGTCCTTAATTTTTAGAAGAAACGATGTGTTTTCCTCTTAGATAACGTGCTACTACATTTGGGCTTAATAGTCATATCCAAAGGCAGCTTTTAGTTTTCATAGGAATGAGAAATTGGTCTTGCCCGATTTCTGCCACAAAGCCTTTACGCTGTAAAGATTGCCACAGGTTTATGTTGGACATCAACAGGTTTCTCAGAGTTATATTGAAAGGAACTGAGAAAACTATTCGGCCCCTTCATCCTAGAAGCCAGAGTGGTTATTAATTGTTGTGTCAGGAAATGTGTGCATCAGGTCTAGAGGCCCAAGCCTTTCAAAAGCCTAATCATGTGGCTACTTTTCTACTCATCAAACTAGTGCTCGCATAGGCAATATTCACAGCCTCTTCATCTTTTTCCCCCCCTTCATCATGGTATTGTTCTGACTTGGCCAAATGTGCCTTGAGTGATTGCTACTTCGGTGGAACCTTAATGACCTTTGGGGAATACTCTTCCCCCCCAGGAATGACGTTTTGGTATCAGGATATGTAGGTCTTTCTAAAAATAAGATTTAGAAATAACCTTTCACTAAGCTTGTGTCCTGCTCCTTCAACAGAACTATGCTTCTAGGATAACTCACATCTAGAAATGAACACAAAACATCAATTTTTATTTTTGCAAAATCATATTTTAACATGAAAGAATAAAAAAAATGCAATTATCCCATTGATTAAAATGAAACCTTTCTAATTGTGTTTGGTGACTTCTTAGAGTAAGCTATTGGAAACATACAATTTTCCTCTCTTTATTTTAATCCATCAATAGTTGCTCTAGGTTATTTGCGTGTTCTGATGTCCACTTGAATAATTAGAATTATTTTCTCTTTTAATGGAGATTATCTCCCAAACTGGAATGGAGTTCCATTGCTTCACATGATATCAAGTCAATATCTCTTCTTTCATTTCCTCATGTGAGAGATAATTTTATTCCTTTCTCCTTCACTGTCTTTCTGCCCACCTCCCCAGATCACCATCAATATATAAAATAATAAAGGCAATAATAAATGTACATCCTTAAAGAGGTATGTATATTCGTGGCTTCTTAATTGGTTACTGCAAATTCAAAAAGCTAGTACACTATTTTGAATGTCATTAGAGAATCAGGAAAAATATTTCTGCTTCAGTAGAGGAGGAAATTACAAATTTAAACATAAGAATGAGAATGCTGGGGTTAAACATCTTAATTAAAAACCAAAGCATTAAAGCCCAGAAAATCTTGAAGTGAAAACATCCAAAAACTATGTCATTGTTTAACATGCAGTATATAAAAAAAATCAATATCCATAAAACAATGTAAAAAGATTAGTAGTGAAAGAAAGTACAAAGAATACATGCTAAAAGTGCGCTTCAAAATTGTGTGTGTTAATAAAAATAATTATGTGCCATGGTTCTGACTTTTGATGACCCTTTTCGGCATTTTCTAGGTAGACAGTACTCAGAAGTAGTTTACTCTTCCCTTTTTGGAAGTGTTCTAGATCTATGCAGCTTGACCAAACTTACAGAGGCTGGGTTTTCTTCAGAGGTCCCTGTGGGGATTCAAACTCCCAATCCCTGGCTTCACAGCCAGATACCCAGCTCACTTAGCTATCCAGGTAGATAAAGACTTTAGTCTTATATACTGTATGAGAGTGTTGCAACTCTAATTCTACATCACCTTGTGCAGCTGCAATGCAATATTGCATTTCTGCAAGAAGAGACTTATGAAGGCAAGGTGATGCTGTATTATGAGACCATTTCCAAGCATAAGCACAATACATGACTAGAACTTCTAATATCTTTTCTGATAGCATAGTAGAAGGCATTCTTCAGTCTTGAGAGACTATGTGCTCTGAATAGAGGTCTTGGAACAATGTCTAGTGTGGCTGAGAAGGACAATTCAAGAGTGACAATCCCTACGACACTGAAGACAAATACAGTCTGTCCCCTGTCCAGATCCCTGGTTTTGCTGCTTTGGGGACTGGCTCTTTGCCTCGGCCTGCTGAACAAGTGCCTCTTCAAATTGGGAGAGGCCACGAAGCACCACCTGCCTCAAGGCTGAACGCTCAGATGTCAAAGTTTCCCATCTGTTGAGGTCCATTCCTAAGGCCTTCAGATCCCGCTTGCAGATATCGTTGTATCGCAGCTATGGTCTCCCTGTGGGGCAGTTTCCCCACACTAATTCTCCATACAGGAGATCTTTTGGAATCCGACCGTCAGCCATTCTAACGACATGCCTGAGCCAACATTATTGCTGTTTCAATAATGTATACATGCCAAAAAAATTCCAGCTTATTCTAGGACTACTCTATTTGGAACTTTGTCCTGCCAGGTGAAACCAAAAATGCATCAGAGACAATGCATAAGGAATGTGTTCAGTTTCCTCTCCTGCCATGCACAAAGCGTCCAGGACTCACTGCAGTATAGGAGTGTACTCAGGTCACAGGCTCTATAGACCTAGATCTTGGTATATGCTGTCAGCTTCTTATTAAGCTGTATTCTCTTTGTGAGTCTAGAGAACATGGTAGCTGCTTTGCCAATGTGTTTATCCAGCTCGACATCTAGAGAGAGTGTGTCAGAGATTGTTGAGCCAAGGTACACAAAGTCATGAACAACCTCCAATTCTTGTGTAGAGATAGTAATAGAGGAAGGTGAGTCAATGCCCTGGCCCTTGTTTTCTTCAGGCTGATTGTTAATCCACAGTCTTGGCAGGCCTTGCTAAAGCAATTCAAGAGTTGTTGGAGCTCTTCAGCAGAATGGCGACAACAGCTGCATCATTGGCGAAGAGGAAGTCCTATGTGCATTTCAGCTGGACTTTGGTCTTCGCTCTCAAGCTAGAGAGAGTAAAAAGCTTTCCATCTGATCTAGTCCGGAGGGTGACACCTGTTGCAGTTCCAAAGGTGTGCTTCAGCAGAACAGCATATAGCATATGCACTGGGCTAATATGAGGGATCTTTACATTAAGGCAGTAATATGGTGGCACTGAGGATTAAACCACAGAAGCCTCTGTGCTGCAAGGTCAGAAGACCTTTAATCATAAGATCGAATCCACATAACAGAGTGAGCTCCCGTCGCTAGTCCCAGCTTCCGCCAACCTAGCCGTTTGAAAGCGTGCAAATGCAAGTAGATAAATAGGTACCACCATGGTGGGAAAATAATGGTGTTCCATGTCTAGTCGCGCTGGCCACGTGACCATGGAAGATTGTCTTCGGACAAACGCTAGCTCTGTGGGTTGGAAACGGAGATGAGCACCGCCCCCTAGAGTCGGACAGGACTGTGCAAATTGACAAGGGGAACCTTTACCTTTACCTTATGAGAGCATGGGGTAGATACCTTGTCTCTCTGTGCAACACCTCTAACCTAAACAAGCTTCTATATCTGCAGCTTCCCCCCCCCCGCCATACTTGGAAGACTGTGTTAGGAATTCAGGTCATGAGCTAATCTTCTCAGATGCAGTTGGTCCAGAGAAGTAGTGGATCTACTGAAAGATTGGTAGCAAGTGAGTTCATCAGTTTTAGCAGGATAGAGTCGGGAGAAGTTGTATAATCACTGGAACACTGTCATTTGTTTTGCTGAAAAACACACTGTGACCCTGCAGTCTTCTTATGTTCAGTGTTACACCTTCTCTCCCTTATTCTGACCTTTATTAAGGGTCTGAATAAGGTTTTTGTATTCATAAATTAAACTTCGTGGTGATCCAATGCATACCATACTCCTTCAACACCTGACACAGGAGAAATACCAGCATGGTGTTCTATGTTACTTCTGGAGGAAGTAATCTCTGCTGTTTTTAATGTTGAATGTGTTGACCTAAAATTTTCATGGTTACTTTTTATAGGCACATACAATGCATATACTAGATGTCAGCTATGTCTTGTGTCCTAAAGTAACATGGAAAGTAACATGGAAAGATGCTAGGGCAAGGTAGCTAGCCCAGCCATTTGAAGAGGCTGGTTATGTGGCACAAGTGAAAATTCCCATTGCATGATCTTTTTGCTCACACTACTTAGGATCCAGGCCAGCATGAGTGATGTCCCAGATATATACTTCAATAATAGTAAAAAAAATACATAAATACTGCAATAATCAGCTTAAAAGAAGGGTAAACATTTCTGATTTCTAATGCTTTTCCTTTTCATCACATTCTAACCCTGAGCACTGCCAATTGCTTTCCAGCAGTTTTATCTGTGTTTTCTGCTGAAAGGGGTCCAAATCCAGTCTTTCAAGAAGCTTATAAACTCCTGAGTGTGTTTAATTATGGCAGATAGCTTTTTAAGACAGCCTTTCCCTATCCTACATTGTTGTGCTTAGACTGGATTGTAAGAGGGAAGAATACATTCATCACACATCTGTGATTTATTTTTGTAGGTGGGTTGCTGTTTGCAGTTAATGGAAAGCCTTACCCTGGAGACAAGGAGCCGGTGCAAGCATTTGTGATGAACTTTTCAACTGGAGCGATCATTGACACTTTCATTCCGCTTAGAAAGGTAACGTGTTATGAAGCATCACTTGATTTTATTAAAAATGTATGCACTCTCATTTGCTTTTCTTCCTTTCCATGCCTTGTTCACTTTCCAAAATTTAGCATGAACATTTTCAAAATATCTAGAATGTGAGGCCAAGTTCTGCTTTGATAAATGGTGCATGTTGACTCTGGGATTGTGGTTTTTATATATATTTTTCCCCAGTCACAGTACTAAGAAGTGATACACTCCCCTTGCATCATATCTTAGAATCTTTGTGCACAGATGGGAGATGCCTTGAACCGCATCTTCTTCGAACCTGTAACAGTGATCGAAAGCCACACTGACATGGTTTGGATTTAACATTTGGCCATATTTATACCATTATGGGAATAAGATTTGGAATCAAGGACTTCTTTCTTTATGGCTTTGTACCTGAAATGAGAGGTGCATATTTGTGAATTTAATGCTGCCTTTGATTTCTATTAAACTTCAGGAAGGCTGCATAAATAGTAATCACCTTATTAATTAAACCAGAAGGAGCTTTTCTAGAATGAACAGAAATATACCAAAAATGGGGAATGGAGATGGTAACTCTTATGTCTGCCTGGTTTTCATTTCAAATGTGACCGTGAAAGGAATGCTTGGACAAATACACTGCAACAATTATCCTATCTCTCTAAACGGCAAAATGTTCAGTTGAAATGAAGCCATTAGGTGCCTAAGACAGTTTTTATCATATGCAGTACTGACTTTCGTCATGGATGGGATATTGGATTAAATGCAGAATTACTCTGACAGGGTCAAGCTGCTTCTGGACTCGTAAGTGAGCTGTAAGATAAACAACTACTAATTGCAATTTTTGATAATTTTATTGGTTGCTGAGCAGGAAGTCTGGTCTGAGATTTTCTGACTGATCTCTGTTGCTTCAGGACTTGAGATTTCTATGACATAAATCTGAAACAGGGTAAACTGAAGCTCCATACAAAGTGTCTGCATTAATAAGAATCTGTGTTTGTTGATGGATTGGTAAATCTCTGTGCTCAGAGAGATGTGAAGGGTTTTTAGACAGGGGAAAAAATTAAAGCAGGAGACTGCCTTGAGAGTGATTTAGGGTAGGAGAGATTGCAAAGCCCATATCTGCAAGATTCTCATTTTTGGATCCTAATTCTGCATTGGAAGGCTAGTAGAACCTGCATAAATGTGTTAGGACACATAAGTTCCACATCATACTCCTGCATCTTTATTTGTTTTGGCCATTGTTTTATTGGCTGAAATCCTGATGGTAATGTAGTTAGTCGCACTGGATAGGTCCACTGGATATGTAGGAATTTGGTGAGTCAACTTCGTCATAATTTCCATTGATTTAATGGACCTAGTTGCATCTTGGTTCACTATAGTAAGTTGCAACCTTAGAACTTGTGGAGGAGTTGACTCACCAAATCCCCATTGTTTTCAGTGTGCTTACTCTTGTGTGATTTAGCTCTAGTCACACAAGGTAAATGTCCTCTAGTTCTTCCAATACTTTCCACAACTCTGTTGTACTGATTCTCAGTCATGTGGTGGAGACCAGGCTAGTAGAACCTGCATAAATGTGTTAGGACACATAAGTTCCACATCATACTCCTGCATCTTTATTTGTTTTGGCCATTGTTTTATTGGCTGAAATCCTGATGGTAATGTAGTTAGTCGCACTGGATAGGTCCACTGGATATGTAGGAATTTTGTGAGTCAACTTCTTCATAATTTCCATTGATTTAATGGACCTACTCAAGTTGCATCTTGGTTTGCTATAGTAAGTTGCAACCTTTGAACTTGTGGAGGAGTTGACTCACCAAATCCCCATTGTTTTCAGTGTGCTTACTCTTGTGTGATTTAGGCTCTGGTCACACAAGGTAAATGTCCTTTAGTTCTTCTGATACTTTCCACAACTCTGTTGTACTGATTCTCAGTCATGTGGTATATATACCAAGGCAAATGTCCCAAGATCTTTTAAAGGTAAACATTTATTTCTTCCTATTTGAATCATGGCCAGCTACACAATGGTACCAGGTTGTGTGTGTGTGTGTGTCTGTGTGTAACAGTTATTAATACATTGATATATAAGGAGGGGTTTGGGGATATGTCCTCTGCATTTGCAGAATTGCATTGGTCAGTCTACTTTCCCTACCGTCTCTTCTGCCTTTCAGCCTAATCAGCCATTTCTTTCCCTATCCCAGCCCATAACCACCCCATGGCTGTCTCTTCACAATGATGGCAAAAAGTGGTGTGTCGAAATGTTGGTACTGCAGCAATGGCTTAAATTGCTCTGTGATATACTTTAACCCAGTGGTCCCCAGCCTTTTTAACACTGTGGACTTGTTGGGGAAGGCAGGGCACCATTACCCGGCTCTTGTGTGCATGCGCGAAGGGACTGTGCAGGGGGGAAGTACATGTGGGGGATTGGAGATCTGTTTTCGTCTGGCCCAGGCCATGGACCGGCACGGCACTGGGCCATGGACTGGGGTTGGGGACCTCTGCTTTAACCAATGTATGGATGTACTGACCATGGAAAATTAAAAATATATAATATGCACACTGCAATAATGGTGGCCACCTTCCTGGCTTTGATTTTGAAAAGAAGCAGGGCAGATCCTGCACACAGGCAATTCCAGTAAGGAATGCACCAATACCACAAAAGTAGAAAATAACACAAGCCTCTCAGGGAGTGGAAAATAAGCCACAGTTATGCCGCTGGCAGGGAAAATGTTTTGATCTTGACTGTGCATTATGTGACTGGGGGGAAAAGCAACACTCTAACTGGGGGATAACTAGAGAACATTTCCCTCATGTGACCAGGGCCTTACTCTACTAAGCAGCAGAATCCAGTTAGTATATTTCTAGCATTTCAGCTAATGTTTATATTTGTGTATTATTTAATGGAAGCCACCCTAACTGCCAGGCCCTGATTGAAATGCAGTCTATAAATTGATGAATCAATGGAGCATGAAACTTCCTGGCACTAGAAACAGCCTCTCAACTAGCTCTCTACTTTAGAAAACAACCTGCAGAAAAGTTCAGCAAAGATGAAACTACCTATCCACATACCCAGTTTTCCCCCAAACCCAGCCAGATTCAAATTGTACCACACACAGTTTCTGGCTCAGAGTTTACTCAGCCCTAAACAGCTGATTGCTTCATATGGAAAGTCCTTTTATCTAATTATGCTGCAGCCACAAATAAGCAGAGATTGAGCCAGGAAATAAATTTGATTTGTTAAGCCAAATAAAGGAGAGAGATTTTGCTAGAACTGGGTCAAGTCCCTTACTTCTTTTAACTTGTCTCTGACTACTACTATGCATGTAATCTCAGCATGCCATTGTATTAAAATTAATTAGTAGTCTGGAATTTTCTTTAAGTTCTTTATTTGATTTGTCTGATTACTGCATGTGCCAGATGCTCCATGAATCTAAATATTCTAATTAATAATTATTGAGATTGGGAGTCAAATAGTTTTGTCTCTTATTCTTATAGATCATCACCTTTAAAAAAAAAAGACTCTGATCTCTAAAGCAGTGTATTTTGCGATATAGCATACCCTGGCATCTCGCACGTGTGTCCTTCTTCCTCCCCTTCTAACTATAAAGTGTGTGATTGGTTGGTGATCTGTTTTGTGTTTTCTTTTGTTTTTCTTTAATTGTTCCTCATATCTTTGCTGAGATTTAAGAGTGAAAATGGGAACCTTTATTTCTTAGCACATGTTATTGTTTATAATTTTTATATCATTTGCGATGTGCTGTTATAGTTTAGGTTTCCTGGTTGCTGTTTTTTTTAAATGGGGTGGTGGTATTAAGAGGAGGGGACAGAGATAACAAGACCAAGATCTCATCCAAGGCCATTGTATTTGCACCCAGTAGATGGCCACTGCCACACCAGGCTCTGGGGAAAACGCTTCTGTATACCATCTGTTCATAGCTGTATGGGGAAAGACACCTCTGTTCCACTGTCATCCTGAGACTTCTGCCATATTTTTGCAGAGGTTAATTGAACTTGAAACCTTTGCCTGTTAAGCTAGACAAGAGTTTCATATCAGATCTCTGTCTGTTGAATAAATAATCTAAACGATCAGATTTTATTCTGTGTGCCCAATTTCCAGTTTTAATTCCTTTATCTTACCGCTTTACCTTGACAGAGTTTTGAAATGCCACATGACATTGTTGCTTCAGATGACAAAACAGTGTATATTGGTGATGCTCATGCCAATACAGTGTGGAAATTTACGTCTACAGAAAGTAAGTGACAGTTGCCTTATGCCACTAAAAGCATCAGTCATTATTTTCAGGCACACACTTCACCAGAAACTCGGTTGTCTTTAGCCATGCCTTAGAAGTGTGTCTCCACTGAGGTTTCAAAAAAAACAAAATGTTGGAAATTGAGGGCGCATTTTTTAAATGATACTGTTTTATATGGTTTTGCTTCAGGTTTGATTTGAATCAGAGTATTTTCAAATTCCCTATACAAACTGGAATGTCATTTATTATGTTTGATTTGTTTGAAAACAAAGTCTAAAAGAATATGCCCATTAGCTTTAAATGCTCAGTTTTTCTTTCCAGTAGTCAAAAATATTTGAAATGAAACATTTGATTAGGAAATGAAATGTTTAAACTGTCCTTTATGTTTTATTTAAGTTGTAAGGTAAAGGTTCTCCTTGACATTTAGTCCAGTCATATCCAACTCTAGGGCACGGTGCTCATCCCTGTCTCCAAGTCGTAGAGCCTGCGTTTGTCCATAGACAGTTTCCATGGTCATGTGGCTAGTGTGATTAGACACGTAATGCCATTAGCTTTCCACCGTGGTGGTACCTAGTTATCTACTCGCATTTACATGCTTTCAAACTGCTAGGTTGGCATGAGCTGGGACAAGCAACGGCAGCTCACTCCATCCATGGATTCGATCTTATGACAGCTGGTCTTCTGACCTTGCAGCACAGAGGCTTCTGCGGTTTAACCCGCAGCATCACCACGTCCCTTTATTTAAGTCGTACAATCCAGTAAATTCTGGATTTACTGGATTATTTAAATTGTACAATCCAGTAAATTCAAAGCTTTGTTTTAAATTATTTTTATCAGAATACTTATAAATATTTTAGGAGGTACCACTGGTATTTTGCCTTAGATTTTTTTTTTTCAAAATATAAGAGGAAAAGAAAATTCAGTGCAAACAACAACCCACTGTACAGCAAATTTAAAAATGTGAATTCCCTATGAGGCATCTTTCTTTCTTTCTTTCTTTCTTTCTTTCTTTCTTTCTTTCTTTCTTTCTTTCTTTCTTTCTTTCTTTCTTTCTTTCTTTCTTTCTTTCTTTCTTTCTTTCTTTCTTTCTTTCTTTCTTTCTTCATTTCCTCCTTTCCTTCCTTCCTTCCTCCCTTCCTTCCTCCCTCCCTCCCTCCCTCCCTTGCTCCCTGAAAGGACCCAAGGCTAACATTAGGAAAACATTGAAAATATAGAGCAGTACGAACACCATGGGAATATCCTATATAGTCGCTAAACATTAAAACAGTGTATTGTAGAAATAGGACATTTTAATTTGGCTTCAGGCCTGGTTTCAAACAGAAATGGTCATGGTTGCTCTGTAGGATTACTATGCTTTGGGAGACACATGCTTGTACAACAACGCTGTCAGCTTTCTTGGCTTTCTCTTAAGCTTTCGATTCTATTAATTGTTTTACTTACAGGAACTATATGTGTTGGGAAGTGAATATACTATACTTGTATGGCTGGTTACATTCATATTTGTATGAGTATTTATCAAAGATGATGAAGCATAATTATTGCTCTGTACCTCCACAATCATTAGGATTCCACAGGCCTCTATTTTATCCCCAATGCTTTTCACTATTTACATTAAATCATGGGAAAAGGTTATTTGGGGTGTCACTTATAAGTGGTCCACACGCAGTTCTGTTTCTCTTTTCCCTCTAAAACATATGGAGCAGTTGATGACAAACTGGTTCTTGGACTTGTAATGGACTGGATGAGGGTCAATAAAACTCAGTGCAGACAGTATGGAGACATTGGTTGTGGCCAGTAATCTGCCCTTTGCTCTTACTGCTACCCTGTTTCCCCGAAAATAAGACCTAACCTGAAAATAAGCCTTAGTATGATTTTTCAGGATGCTCATAATATAAGCTCTACCCCCAAAATACAGTGGGGTCTTGACTTGAGAACTTAATCCGTATTGGAAGGCGGTTCTCAAGTCAAAAAGTTCTCAGGTCAAATATGCATTTCCCATAGGAATGCATTGAAAACCATTTGATCCGTATCTGCTCTTTTCCGTCCATAGAAACTAATGGGAAGCTGCTATTCTGCCTTTGACCACTAGAGGGGGGATATTTTGTTTCTTTTTTTCTTAGGTCAAGAAAGGTTCAGGGAAGGCAGGGAAAATACAGTCCAGGCAGTACAGTACCAGGCAGTCTGAAGACTGTCTCCCAATCCACTCTCTAAACACTGGGAGGAGTGAGGAAGCAGACAGGCACCCTTTTCACTGGCCAACAGTTAACTGAAAGTTCACTTTTTGCACTTTTCCTGCCTTCCACGTGGTTTTTTTTCAGTTCTTAACTCAAATCTAAGTACTTAAGTCAAGTCAATATTTTCCTATGAGAGCGGTTCCTAACTCAAAATGTTCTTAACTCAAGCCGTTCTTAAGTCAAGACCCCACTGTAAGCCCTAGTTAAGTGAAACCCCATCCTCCACCATTGTGCAGCAACCAGAAGATGACATGACTTTAAAATAAAACATTCCCTGAAAATAAACCCTAATGCATTTTTGGAGCAAAAATTAAGGTAAGACCCTGTCTTATTTTCACGGTAGTCAACTTCCAGGTGCTTTAGACAACTGAAAGTCCTAAGCATCATGTCATGTTAATAACCACTTGTGTTGGGACGTCCTTCCTGTTCTTCTAGCTGTTTGTCCCACCCAAGCACCTCATCTGGTGAATGTTCCACTTCTCCATGTCAGATTTTGATGGCATACAAGGTACTGCAAAGGAGAGGAGGAATTTCTCCCACTAGGTTCATGGAGAGGTAAATTCTCTCAGCGGAATACTGTTGCATTCTGCTGAGACAATACTGTTGCATGTTAGCTAGAATCTGAATACCAGTGTTACGGAATTATAGATGAATGTCAGCTCCTACCTGTTACAGCAATAAAGCCTTTTAAAAATGCAGCCAACTTTTTATTTTTAATTTGTGGGGCAGGGAAGGAAATAGAGAAGGGCATGTTGCTTTTACGCTCTTTTAGAGGATCATCAGGAGAATTTGCTGTTTTAAATGCTGTGTTGCCATGCCTGGCTCGTTATTCGATTAGAGAGATCAGTTCATCTCCAACATGTCCCTCAGCATCTGGCATTCACTGTCCACAACTGAGAATTGTAGTCACCACTGGTTGAATGGCTTAATTTTCACATTCCTCGGCCATTTTTACGTCTTGTTAACCTAAATAAGTTGTTCCCACTGGAACATTTGCTTCTGCTTGGTCATTAAGGCTGACATTTGCTCTTGGCTGAAGGTGCCCCTTCAGTATATCTGCCTTTTTTTAAAGGCATAAACTGACAATCTGATTGTGTGCTGATTTCCCTCTCCAATGTATATATTCATTTATATTATTTGTCAAAAGAAATTGCAAAAGAAAAAGAAAAAGAAATTGCATCCAAAACACCATATAACCACAATAAGAACTGTAAAATGAGTGTTAATAACATATGTTGGAACCAAGAATAGCCAGAATATTTTTAAAAGCCTAATAATGCCTTTACATCTGATATGAATTGCAGAGCAAAGCTTCTGTAGTATAGCGAAACACACACACACACACACACACACACACACACAGACAGACATTTCCAAATTCCAGAGCTCATTCAGCAATAAATCTACCAAATTGTGTATGTCTATGTGTGTGTTCCTCAAAACATAAACTGTACATCAAAACTGAATATTAAAATAAATGGGTGAATAAATGTACTTTATTCCTATCTCAAGCTTCCAGTTATGACCTTTATGATAACTCTTTGTCTCTTCCTATGGCATTTTCAGCCAGGAGGTTATTCTGAGGTCAGTAAATTTAGGATGATTTTTCAAAGTTTACAGATCAAGTGTATAATCTGCAATTACATCAGGAAGGATAAAAATGTATGACAATAATAAATCACCACATATAAGAACTGTTCAATAGCTCAGTGGTGTATAGTACATCAATTATGTTATCTAAAGCTTTTCTAAAAAGATTGATGGTTGCATAATTTCTGGGCTTTCCTGCACATTTTTTTCAAATATTTGCTGCTAAGCACATAGCAGATAAAGACGCTGAGAAATTCTAGGTAGTGTCTGCCAACACGTCTGGAACCAAGAGCAGATCAAAGCTGTTCTTCTATGGGCAATGTCCCTGCCAAGCTCCTTCAGTTTGCCATTGCTCTTATTTGACTCTCCCTCTCGAAAAACGAAACAGAACACAAAACCCTGAAAATATATTGTGTGAAAGGAAGGATATGTGCTAATCTTGTAATTGTTGTTAATGCAATTTCATGGGTTTCCCTGATTTGGGAATGTCACGTGCCACACTAAGTCCTGTGCTGATTGTTCTGATATCCTCAGCAGGAAAGCTCTCTGAAACTTTTTAAAATTATTTTATTTTTTTGAAGGATGTACATAGTCCATCCCATATATTTTTGCAAATATTGTGAATTCAAACCAGACCTGCTGATCTTTGGTGTTGTTCATATTTGCAAAGGCAATTGTTTGTTATAGATGGTGACTGTTGCAGCCTCCCATACATTGCAAGGCCCTAAAAGCACATTTTGTGTTGCAGAAATGGAACATCGATCTGTTAAAAAGGCTGGGATCGAGGTACAGGAAATAAAAGGTTTGTATTTTCTCAACAATTCATGCCATGGGAAGGCCACATGGGTATTATTGTGTCTAATGATCAGTTGAAGGAAGGAGTTCTGATGATCGTAACATGCAACTCAGTGACTGTGGATTCTGTGTGCAAATAATTGCCTGGAATGGCACTTTTAGGAGAAAATTACAAGAACTTGAAATTTAAAAAAAGCAAAGCAAAGCGTGCTGCTTATATACCGCCCCATAGGGCTTCAAGCTCTCTCTGGGCGGTTTACAAGTTAATTATGCAGGCTACACATTGCCCCCCCCCAGTGAGCTGGGTACTCATTTTACCGACCTCAGAAGGATAGAAGGCTGAGCCAACCTTGAGCCGGCTACCTGGGATTGAACCCCAGGTCGTGAGCACAGTTTTGGCTGCAGTACAGCGGTTTAACCACTGCGCCACGAGGCTGAAAAATCTCCATATCCCTAAATATTAAAGGACCAAGTGTTATGATCAATATTGTGTTGGCAAGGATAATTTGTATCTGCTCACCAACTGAATGTGCGTCAGGAAAGGAGGGGACCCTGTGACCAGATCTACAAAAATCCATTGTAGAAGTGGCCAGCAGAATATTGTTGATGCATATAAAAAAGGAAAGTCAATCTGTTGGATAGTGGACTTTTTTTGCCTCCGTTACAAAGTTATATTATTGTCTTCTCAGAGGCTTTTTTAAACAATGGTCATCAATCCTGCAACATGAATTATCTTGCAGTTACTGATTGCAGTGTATTGTCTGAAATAAACTTTCATGTCTTGAAAAAGTTAATTGCTGTTCAATTTCTTCTTTCCTTAAAGAAGCAGAAGCCGTTATAGAAACCAGACTGACAAACAAACCCATGTCAAAGGAAATATTGAAAAAAGAGGAAAAGCAGCATGTAGTCCAACAAGCTACCACTGGAGTTTCGTTTGTTCTTATTATAACACTTCTAATTATTCCAATTGTTGTCCTCTTGGCAATTGTCATATTTATTCGGTGGAGAAAAACAAGAATCTATGGAGGTAATTAACTCTTTAACATGATAACAACAAGCCTTTTAATATCCAAATCCTTCATGTAAATAGTATTGTGAAATTATATGAAATGTTTATTCCCCACTGCTGTATAGCAGTCAAAGTTGGGCAAATAGTTTCTCACCTTCTCAGTTGTAAAAGTGGATTTTTATAGGCTTTTCATTTAAAATGTCTTCTAGTGCTTTAGGAGAGGGGAGATTTTTTTTTAGTTTGTGAGTTGATAAAAGGTAATGACTGTTTCAAATAGGTTGTTGAAACAAGCACAATCAAGTTGATCTCAGTGGTTTTGCTGTCTTACAGGGGTTCTGAGGAAGATCTCTCTCCTTTCTGTGTTATGCTCTGTGTTACTCTTTATAAGCCATCTATAGCATTCATTTGCTATGCGCTAATGCTGATAGCGCTGTTATTTGTCTTTAAACATCTATAAATTCTGTATAGTAGAAGGTCTACATGATGTAGATGAATTATTACAAAATAACTTCAGCAATATTTAATTTTCCCTTTCATACTGTCAGGTCCCTTGAGTTCAGTCTTGAAGAGAAAACGGAATATAAATCTAATAAATAAATAGTTTACAAATAGTCCAGAGTTTGGGCACGATGCCACTTGCCTACAGAGCAGCATTATTTTATCTGTGCAATGCAGGACTAAAGGAAAAACTTGCATCCTGTCTACTGGTACACATATACCCATGCAGACGTCTCATATTTCCCTCTCGGCAAAGAATCACACATTGCACAAACATGCATGCAATGAAAATCTTAACATCATTTCCTTCTTGAAAGAAAAATGGCTTCAAGTGGCATCATGAGCGGTGAAGGAGCATAACAAGGACATACTTAACACTTCCCCTGTGCAACTTCTTCACTACAGATGATGTTTTGTTTTTTTCCTCTGTAGAATTTAAAATTAATTAGAAAAAGAAAGTGGGTGGGTGAGAGAAGGGTTCTCCTACTTAGCCCCCCCCCCCAGCTTTTCTAAGTGCTGTATAAGAGGATGGGAGGAGGAGACTATTCACACAAACAATTCCTCCTTATTCAATTTCTTCTTTGGTCCCATTTGGCATTGACGCAAAAGAGATTCAGGTGAATATTCAAGGTGTTGACCTCAACATACTGTCACACAGCCAGATCTGATCAGTGATGTGGTGCTATTATGTCATCACACTGTCTGTGTGATTGTTCTTTGAGTGGATTATTTACCCAAGGAATGAATCATGTTAGCGGTTCAAGTACAGCTTTTGTGTAATTATTTTTTGAACATCAAAGATAATTCTAGAAGCAAGATATTTATTTAAGATGTGAATGTGTGCTGCAAACAAATGGCCTCTTAAAAGCCTCTGTCCTGTACATGGGGAAAGAAATTGAGGAGTATGGTCATTTTATCTAATTTTATCTAATTTTATCTAATTTCTCCTGGAAGAAAATAACTTCTGTAACCATTCATCAGAAGTGGTGCTCACTATCAGCACTGCTCATAGAATGTCTTTTCTTTTCCTAAGTCCTTTGGTTTTATTTTTGCATTGCCCCTGCAAAGAGTAGCATAAGCATCTGTTATGGCATCCTGGCCATTGTGTATCCTCCACCATTAAACCATTGCTAAGATTGTTCCACAACATTGCAAGGCAGGAGAAGAATCTTTCACCACAATCCTCCCAAAATGAGACACTATCTAACCTTCTTTTTCTAGGGTAGATTTTTTAAAAATACCCAAATTGTTACCAGAAAAATCTGTTCTGAGAAATATTGATGGGTTATTTTTCTTTAACAGCCAGTGCCCTGCCTGAGTTCTTCTAGATGTCCAGTTTCTGAGGTGGATGTTTTTTTTTTAACTTGGAGATTTACGATACTGCTCCTCCTTACAAGCCTTGCCCTTGGTTTCACTTGGGTTGATGTTGTGTCCAGCTCTAGAACAGAAGTGAGAGCCTAGTTACTGTGCCATAACTCATCCTACTACATCTGGAAACTGATCTGCTTTCCACATGGTGAAATGGGCAAAAGGGTTGCGTGTTAGCTTTTTTCTTTCATCCATTTCTCAATTATTCTGTATCCCCTGTTGGTATCCAGACATCCTGATCTGGAGAAACTCAAGAGTGAGAATATCAGGCTAAAACAAAAGAAAAATAAAATAAAAAACTTGCCAAACATGTTGTGACACCTTAAAAACTAACTGCGGCATCTTAATGTGAGATTTTGTGGACAAGTCCACTTCCTTAGAGTGAGAATGGTCATTTTATTATACTATTTCCTGGGCTTTTACTGAAGCAGAGAAACAGGGAGGCTGCCAGCTGTATGATCGGGGAAAGATTAAAACTGGGGAAAATATCCCTTCCAAAGCAATAAAGGAAGGTGTACTTCTCCAGATGCTGTAAACTATATCCAGTGTTTATTTGTAAAAGGCCCAACACATTGTATTAATGTATGTTGTATGTCAGGGTTGGGTAGCGTGAGACTCACAGGCCGCATGCCTCAGGGGCTCAAACACACACCCCAGGACCCACATCCCATGAACAATTAGCATATTTGGGAGAGGACAGGGTGTCAGAAATTCTCCTTGAGTCCTCTAGGATAATGGATGGGCATGTGCAGTCCCAAGACCTCTGAAGGTTGCCCATCTCTGTGGCCTTCCTCAAGGGCTAGAAAATAACAACTAGTTACCAATATAACTACACATAAAATTTGTTTACATTAGATAGACATTTGTACTTAACTGTTCAAACAGTCTGCAGAAAGTGCACTGATAAATACCGTATTTGCCGCTGTACAAGGCAACTGGGCGTATTAGACGAACCCCCCCCCCACTTGGAGGCATGTTTTTGGGGCAAGGGTGAGAAGGGAAGGGAAGCAAGTGGCGGCGGAGGAGGAGGGGAAGGAGAAGCAGCTCTCCGGTGGCGCGCGGGCGAGTGGGCTCAGCGGTGCAGGGCAGTGGGCTCTGGCCGCTCAGGCATGGCCGGCTTTGCTTCCCTTCCTCCGGACTGACCGCCTGCCTGCCCGCCTGCCTTCCTCTCCAGTCGGTGCGGCCCCGCGTCACTTAGTGGCAGCGGCAGCAATGGCACCTCCTTCCTGGCCCAAATTAAGTGCACCTGGCATACAAGATGACTCCCCCACTTGGAGGCATGTTTTTGGGACCAAAAAAGTCATCTTGTACTCCGGCAAATACGGTAAATCCCATCCTTTTTCTAGATGACTATGATAATACGTAGCCATGTTAGTCTGTGCTAGGATGTCAGGTAAAAACAACACACACATAAACAAAAAGTAAAGACAGGAATGTTATGGCACCTTAAAGACTAACTCCTGTATTTTAATGTCAGCTTGTTCTGGACAAGTCTACAAAGTAGGTGTCACTCTCTGAAGGTCCTTGAGAGCAGATGTAATCAGACCCTTATGGCTAGGTAGGCCTCTTGCAGTTATCTATCCTTAACTTAATATAATGAATTTACATGCGAGCTCATGGGTTTTGAAGCAATTACATCTTAGCTTTAAAAATGTGCCACAATATAAATAAGGTCTTGGGGACTGGCAGGGGTATAAAATCTTAAACATGTGTTTTTATGTGATGCCTTTATGTTTGCATGACCAGCTAGTGAAAAACAGAGAACTCACTGTGTCACCTCAAAATTAAGAAAAACTTAAGAACCAGAAGCTCCAGCAAAACAATTTCTCTGAAGTTTTCTTCAGATGATTCCCCCCCGCCCTGAAAAGAAGAAGAAGCAGATTATTTTTCTGTCACTTTGAATGACAACAAGTGAAAACAGTGTGGAAGGCATTTTGACACAGCGCAAACACAAACAGCAAAATACAGTGTTGTATGAATCCATTCTGCCATGCAGCTTTTCCACAAGTTTGAGCCTTTTAAAAAGAAATGCAGGTGCAGAACAGAGTCATTTTCAAACCAGCTCTGCATTTTAGTGCTGTTTCTTTTCCACATAGCTTCATTTTTCAAAGTGTGCTATGTTTTCCAGTTTATGTTTCAATAATATAATTGCACTTCAGGGTTCTTGCTCCTGATTTAGAAATATGTCTCATTCTTGTAGCTGATGCTGAACATAAACTTGATTCAAGTTCAGGGAGAATCCTGGGCAGATTTAGAGGTGAGTAAAGAGAAAGGTCTGGAGTTGCTCTACCAAGGTCAAAAATTGCTTCTGTACAGATAAATGGCAGCTCCTGAAATGCTTGGAAGTGTACTCCTTCTTTATGGTTGGTGGAGGAAGAGGGAAATATTCCCATCTCATGATCTGTGACGCCAGTGTGCGCTGCTTTAATTTTCTCCATTAGATGTAAATGCCTGCCTGCTCCTGGTACATGTCTCTCTACTGCTAATGAGTCCAGCCGTTCTTCTTGATGTAGTGAAGGTGATGAGTCACCTCCTTATCTACCCAGCAAAGCCTTTGGGAGCCACTGATTTGGCAGGGTTTGATGAGGAACAGAGGAGTGTTTGTAGAAACAGGGAACAATACTACAGAATTGATCTTACTTACCTGCACCTGCTCTTTGTGTAAAGAAGAAAAATAATGACTGCAATTATTTCTCTCAGCCTAAGTTCAGAATAATCCCTGAGCTAACTTTAAGAAAAGCTTTGAGGAAGGGAAGAATGAAGGCAGATCCTATTACCCTGTGTTGTGACCATCTCATTTTGTGCCAGGAGTGGGTGGGGGAGGTATAAACCGTATTTGATGCAAGACTGTAAGATTGTTCCATGTTTCTTTCCATAAACCACTGTGTATTACCTTCAGCAAGCTTTCCAGGAAGGAGTGGTTAAAATAACACCTGAAACCTAAATAATGAGATGAAAATGATCATATATACTAACATGAGGCAATGATAAGTACATGAATCTTTTCTTTAAAATCATTTCGTTTTACAGGAAAAGGTGGTGGAGGACTTAACCTTGGGAATTTCTTTGCAAGCCGCACAGGCTACAGTCGAAAAGGGTTTGACCGACTTAGTACTGAAGGGAGCGACCAAGAAAAAGATGAGGATGATGTCACAGATTCAGAGGAGGAAGATTCTGTTCCACAGCCTCCAGCGATTCCCCCGTCTTCTTCCTGAAACTGGCCTTCGATTTCTACATTGTATGATTCTACAAAGATTGCCAGATCTAGCACGTTTTAAGATTTTATGTATTTAATTGTAAACTGTACTAGTCCTTTGTGAGGCTGTACACAATTCTTTTTCTTTCTTTTCCCCAGCCCCTTTTGTTTCAGTTTAATTTGGAGGCGTTAATATTTCATATCAGTGCCATTGTCTCATGTGAACCTTTTAATAAAGCAAAACAATCCCATTTATTTGCAGAAATAATTTTAAAGTAGTGGTGTTTGCTCATGTCACTTTGGGACCTTCTCTATATTTGTAAATAAGTCCCAGTCTGCTATAAGAATTTTTTTCTCCAGTTTCCAGATTTTCTTTTGTGCCTTTTTCACTTTCAATGCCCTTAACGTATCACAGAACAGAGAAAATAGAGTGCCACGAAGAAAAGAAGCTGCTAAAACCCCCTATTTTTTAACAAAGGAATCACTAGCATTCTGTTGCTTTGAGGGGAAAGATTTTAAGAGTCTCTATTTAAAACAGTTTTTCTTCTTCCTCCACACTTTGTGTGTTCCCAGGATGTCTTATTTTTAGATGGTTACACTGTTAGAACACTATTTTCGGAAGCTGAATGTAATTTGTGTAATAAAGTGTTCGCAGAGCATTAGCTATCAGAGTGTACTTTGCAATTTTTACATTTGGAGAGGGGGAGGGGGGTCTTTGTATGTAACGTTTGTAAACAATACCTCAGTGAGTAGCTTGCAAAGTTTTATCACGGCTTTCTACCAGCAAGAGGAGAAGAGGGGAAAGACAACCAAAGTACTATTTTGTATGAAAGTTAGCAGATGTTTTATTACATTGCATTTGTTTGGGGATTTTTTTTTTTAAAAAAAAAGCAAACCAAAAATCTGAAAACCAAATTTGCATTACATGTGTAAGTTCATGTTCATTTTTTTTTAAAAAGGAAAAATTTGGCCTGTATATCCCAACTTCAGGGTGTGTGCACAAATAAAACATTGTCAGAGCTAAGAGGAAACCTGTGTCTCAGCTTGCATAAAACTAATTATATTTCTTTACTCCCCCCACCGTCATACAGTACAGTCCTTACAGTAAGAATATATAGTTTCAATAATTAGTATTTATAAAGTGCTTTAGAGCAGACATTCTCAATGGGGGCCATGTGACCCCCTGGGGAGGGCTGGTACATCTAAAGGGGGGCAGATACTGGAAAAATGTGAGAAGTTTCTGAAATATATATGTGTTGTATCCTTGTTTGAGAAGTTGCCCTGGAACCTTGGAAGAGCTCCTAAAAGGGCAGTGGCCAAAAAAAGGTTGAGAATGGCTGATCTAGAGTGTTCAAATCACTTTATATGTAAAAATTCCATTACAGTTCGACCCTATAAATTTAATTTTGGTGGACTGCAGATGTGCTTAAGTTTTACAGGTAACAGTTTACTCAGATATAACCTAGTGAAATCATAGCACATACACCCTTGGAAATTCACAATACAGTCCTGTATAGTTTTGAGATCCAGTGTGGTGTAATGGAGGGAGTGTCAGATTAGGACTCAGGAAAACTGGGTTTAAATCCTTGCTCAGCTCCAGAAACCACCGGGGTAGTGGTAAAAAGGGTAAAATAACTCCTTATATCTATCACATTAAAAATTCTATTAGGGTTTTTGTAAGTTGGTGGCACATAACACAGACCTACTTAGAAGTCCACCTTGCGGTGTGCAACAACACTTGTGTCTTGGCACATCGCTACAGAAGTGTAATCTCTTAGAACAGCCTAATTTACAGAAGTCTGGGAGTTTCACGTATCCATCGTTGGACCCTGAGGGCCTGATATGCTTGTCTCTGGACTTGGTGGAGGCACACTCACTCCCATGATCCCTGTCTCATTTTTCTCTTTCCCTTCTGCCTTCTAATGGCAGTTTTGTCGTGTGTGTTTTAATGAGTGTACTGGCCCTCAAAACATGTCAGAATAGAGGGAACTGGGAGATTTGTTTGTGGCCACCAAGTGTCTTATTTTCCTCTAAAGTTCCTGCAGAGTGTTGGAGGGCAAGGGTGCTGAGGGAGCTACGTGTTGACCCCTGAGGCGATGCGTGTTGTTCGCAAACCACATACTGTGGTTTGCCACCCTGTGTTAGCTAAGCCCTAGACATTATGTAACTATAGCAACTGGGTCCTAGCTGAAGAATGTAAAGTCAACTGACATATCTAAGTTGTCATTGTCATGTTTTACCAACCAAATGCAATTTGATGAATAAAAAGACAGGCTTTCCTATTACAGTGAGCTGCTTTCTTGGAATAACCATTTTTGCAAAGACAGGCACCAGGAACCAGCTGCTGTAGCTGTCACAGGCAAACTGCTCTAGCTGTAGAAAGGGGGGTGAAGATGCCTTTCTTAATTTGCTAGGATTACAGTGTTATTGTTGACTAAGAAAACCTTTCAAATGGGAAAAGATGTAATGTTTGTGTTTCTGCATTCCTCCTGAAGTAGAAAAAAGCACTCAAGAAGGCTGTGTATTATGTACCCATAGAAAGCAGCATTCTAAAACTGGAAGTCATGCAAGCTACTTAAATTCACTGGGGAGTAAATTCATTTTTAAAAGCTAGCAAGCCTCTTTTTTTAAAAGGAAAACAGGGAAACATGTTTTAGATTAGGCATCCTTCAGTCTCAAGAGACTGTGGTAAGGTGCTCTGTATGGAGGACTTGGAACAGCATCTAGTGTGGCTGAGAAAGCCAATTCGAGAGTGACAATCCCTTCCACACTGAAGACAAATACAATCTGTACCCTGTCCAGCTCCCTGGTTTTGCTGCTTTCAGGACTGCCTCTTTGCCTCGGCCTGCTGGACAAGGGTCTCTTCAAATTGGGAGAGGCCGTGATGCATTTTTTTCCCCTTATAGTTTCAGAATGTTGTGGGTTGAAAGACAGAAAGAACAGAGTTGTCAGAGTGCTGAACTAGTAGTTCAGATCCCCAGCCTTGATTCACAAGAGTAAACTACCATAGCTGGTACTAGTGGAGGAGTGAGCCACTGCACTACTAATGAGAATTCCCCAACACAATTCTGTGTCATTTTACAATGGAACTCTCCCAGTGGTGCCTGTGGGAGTTCTTTCGTAGCAAGAAGCCCATACAACAGAGACTGTTCTGACTTGGCAGAGGCACAGGTGGGACAAAATGTTAATACCTTCATTTGTTAAATGAACTCCTACTATGATTCACAGCACTGCATAGTTTTAGGAACTAGCAGCTGCTCTTATACAACTTGAATGAAGAGCAGGGGAAATCTTAATAACCACCTAAAATGAAGAGAGTCAAATGACTTCTCCCTGTCTCTTCCAGACTGTGATGTGCTAGGAGGTGAAAGGAGCTACCAGATGTTCCATCTCTCATATTTCATAATTATGTGGCCTCAATTCCAACTGATGACAACCCTTTCCAGGGATTCCTAGGTAAAAAAAATATCCGGATGTAGCTCCTTCTAGTGGCACTCCAGTACCATACAGTTTGTTCACACTGCACAGGCTGGGTCATCTTCCAAGAAGCATGGTGGGGAACTGAAGTTGAACTTCTGGCTCCACAGCCAGATATCTAACTCACTAAGATATCCAGCCAGCCCAACAATAAAAAACAGCAAACTCTGAGTTAAGGAAATTCAGAGCAAGTAGGCAGTGCTCTGTTTCCTGCTTTCCACTTCCATGTTGCCACTTCCAAGTAGCCCTTCCACATGCAAACTCTTCTCTTTGTTAGAGCCAGTTGCCATTTGAACTCCAGGGTCACAGAGGAATGAGCAATTTTCAGCTCTAGATAAATACGAAATTCATAGCTTGCCTCTATGCTATTCAGTCTGGCTACATAACGACTGGAAATGCCACCCATTTTTAATACGCTTCAATTAGTTTAGGAAGTACTTCAACTCACTAGCCAGCTTCGCATATGTAACTCAGCTTCCCTGTTTGTATATTTGTTGGGGTTCTAGAAGGCAAGGTGTACAGGGCAGAGAGGCGAAACGGATGTGCGTACTGCAGGCCGAACTTGAAAAAAAAACACAAACAGTTGTAAATTACATGGGAATTACATCCTCAAGGGTGGAATGGATTTGAGATCTCCAACAGTTATGATTTCCCCAAATACTGTGAATGCACAGGACCAGTTTCCAAATAAACATTGATCTGCAGCAACTATGTCAATGAACATAGGTTTGTTGATCAGTAAACTGACATTTTTAAAATATTTTGTCAACAAACTGTATTTTTTTTAAAAAAAAAGGTAGGGGAGATAATTATTGTGAAATTTATTTTGTAACAAAATGTAATTTTCCCCACCATTATTAAGAATTTCTGCTGGAATTCAAACCAAGATGGAGCCAATGGGATGTCGGAAAGGTGTGGAACTAAAGTAACATGTTCTTAATCTTTGTGCTTCCACTTTGAAACAAGTGGAACCTCCGCCCCCACCCCCACCCCAAAAAGGGATTTTGAATGGCCAGGGAAAGAACAGATAAGGGCTGTGCCAACCATTAAATTAACAACTCACAGTAAACAATGGGCATACTGTATTTGGGACAGATTGAAGACAGAAATGTCTGAGGGGCTAAATGCATTTTAGTTTCTGAAAATGAGCAAAGTTGGGGCCAACTGCATTTCCCCAGAGGTGGACATTCCTAATTGAGGGACTGCCACCAAAAGGATCCTCTTCCCCCTTTGTTATGCCATGGGTCATGCCTTGTGGTAGGACTATGTGCAAAGTTGCCCTGACCAATCTTAAAGCACAAGATGGTTGTACAGAATACAGATTTAAATACAGCTTTCAACTCATTCCATCAGTTCCTGGTTGCTCCTCCAAGCTTTTAACTCCTGTGGCCACTGATTTTCTTTTCAAAGAAGGGGAAAGTGATGGTGGGGAGTCTGAACAATCATTAGTTTCATGGAAGTTCTTAAAATAATAATAATCTACTGAGCAGTATATGGAACAAGCAACTATTAGAAAATCTGGGAGCATTTTAACCATCAGTGTTGCTGCTACTTTCTGAAAGCCTTTTGTTGCTCCTGGGTGTAGGGCCAAAATCTCAACACGGGAGAAAGAGGTCAAAGATGGTCAAAACAGTGGGATGTGGTACATGGTTCCATACCTGGATACTAATGCCAACTTAGAGAAGCAAAGAAGATACGGATTGTTCATCCACAAGTACATATTCACTAGACTCTAGCTGAACAGATGGTACTGGTAGCTCAGTATCTGCAACAGAAGTGTATGAAATTAAGCAGGAACCCATCTACTGTTTAAAGAGTATAGAAGACCAAGTGTAGGACAGAGATATGCATGCAGACCTAGACACCATGAAGTTACCTGAAGGTTTTTCAATTATGTGGAATTACCATCCCAATTAAGCAGCTGTCCTTGTATTATTAGGTAGAAATTGGTTTCCTGGGAGGCATCTTGAGTAGTTTTTTTTTTCCAATTAAGCAGTGTACAGTAGTAGTTAATCAAAATTTATAGATCAATGCAATATATTGGAGTAATTTAATATAGTGACTATCCTCACTTTCCTCAAACTGATTTATGGGCCTTCCCACATGCTGCTATGGTAATTCTTGCCCCTACACTCCTAGGTCATGATGACAAACTATACATAAAGACATTAGAGGAGAAATCAACATTACTCTTACTAGTGCTGAACATTTGATCTAAACTAACATAACTTGTAGTACTATTAACATTAGGATGTCAAGACTCCTGTTTGTCCTCATCTTTGCTGTTATTGGTTCATTTGCCTGGTTAGCAACAGAGATAGACTGGGAACTAAGTATTTATTTATTTATTTATTTATTTATTTATTTTCCTGCCTATCTAGTCGAACGACCACTCTAAGCT